ACCATGTGGTCCCTGCCGAACCTGAACCTACGACCGAATAAACGATGTTTCTAGTTACTGTGAAGATTGTTAATATTTCCAGAGAGGTCGAATCTGGGTAAATATTGACCTAGCCAGAACGCCAGAATTGCTCCCAGTCGGTGCAGTGCCCTCACAGGGACTCGAAACTGGTACGTCTCGAGAGTGATTCTAATTACACCACGAAGGCATACGAAAAGGAGGGAGAAAATATCTTATAGTGTACCATAACAATGTATTCAGAACTTCAGATTTTATCTGTGTAGTATTGGAAAGGGGATAATACGCTCTTCGAATTCTGAAATTATATTAATATGTTTTTTAGTAGTCTAATAAAAAAGCAAATTATTGTGAAATTTTCAGCAAATCCCATTAAACAGTGAAGTCAAACTCAAACTGCATACGTTGCGAATGAACAAACTGAAAACAACTGGTATGCCAGAATATTTATATTCTTAAAATGAAACAATTTATTAACCAAATTAAAAATATTTTAAATATTTATCAAAACATAGATAAACAATAATAAACATAACAAAAATAAACAATAACAAAAATAATATTTATATTTATTTTATACCTCAAATCTAAAGTCCGATACCTGCAAGCCATTTCTTTTGATTACACTTTGTTTTCACTTTTCTTTCAAACAGCTTTAACCTGGTTAATTAATTTTAATAATTAAATAGCTTACTTTAGTTTAGACTAAAAATTAACAAACTGTGAGAACTTTCTAAGTTTTTAGAGAACATTTACGAAGCGGAACCAAACTCGAGTCTCTTTCCCTTTTTTATTAAAATTTCTTCGATGCATAAAGGAATAAATATGTTTGTATGCAAATAATTATAAAATTCTTTATTTCTTAGCTTAGTATTAATGGCCTTTCGATTCTGAGGAAGTTTGTAGCCTTCGAGACAAATTACTAGAAGTGATCTTCATCACAGTTTTTGGATACTGATTGGTCAATAATTGGTTCTTTTCTTACTAATTTTCAACGTGAAACCAAAAATGTTCACATGTAAATGTATCCCCAAGCAAAGCGAGCACAAAGGTTCGTCACTGAGTGAGCACATTTATCCTTTGATAAGTACGAATCAAAGTTAATAAAATCTGTATCCTCAAATCTTTGAATAAGATTTATATCACTCTGTAAATTAACTAATTCCATTTATCGATTTTCTAGTGCTTTATTTAGGCAGATAGCCCTAGTGTGCTTTGCCATAATTGAATAATCCTAATCCTAGTGCTTTATTCATACTCGTTTTTATTATAAATAAAAACAATATAAACTCGGACTTCAAATAAGGAAAATCTTAAAATCTTTGCAACACCAACAAATACAACAACTGAAATGATCTTCGCGGGCTGCATAAATTGCTTCGGGAGCGGAATGCGGCCAGTGGACAGCAAGCTTGAAGCCACTGCCCTTAAACATGTAAAAGTAGCACTGCAGTTCTGTGACTGTGAACTGCGGCATCTGTGAATTTGAAATTGTTGGGAAAACATCTCATTTTGCTGAAGACGACAGGAAAATTACTGAATTTGTTTTTCAAAAGTAATTATTTAAATATTATTGTAATCATATTGTAACTGTTGTTGTTAATAAGCCCACGAAATTCATCGTGGTAAAGAACTCAACATTCCGCCTTTTCACCTATCGTTGGCAAGAGTCTTGGACAGCATACAGCTGACAATACGACTTTGCTCAGTTACGATCCCAATTTTGAATCCCCGGGGAGGAGGACGGTCCTAGGATCTCCCACCCTTCTTTCCCTAGAACCAACCTCTCGAAAGGACTTACGGCTCGCCGCATATTTTGAGTGCCCGCATGATATACAGATACTATTTATTTACAAACATCCATGCTATCACAGGGATTCGAACACGGGCTCTTCTCTGCAGTAGTCGGAATCAATAACCACTATCCGGTTGAAGAACATATATTAATTAATTGTGCCATATAATTTTTCTGGGGCAAAAAGGAAGTAAAAAATTATTTTATTTATATGCATAGGAGCAGAAATATGCCTCGGTGGAGCAATGGCTAGCGTGTTGCGCAGGACCACCACAGGGTGGTCCATCCGGGGTTCGATCCGCGGGCTGGGCAAAGTCGACTCAACCTTTCGCCCCTTGAATGGGTCGATAAAATGAGTATCAAGTTTGCTTGAGGACTAAACACCGGAGGTCCTGCGACAAGCTGACCACTTGTCTAGGGCATATGCTTATGCAACCCGGAGCCCACGGTTAGGAAAGCACATACCGGGGCACTGCAGGCCATGGCCCATTAAGGTTTTAGTGCCGCTGAGTTTAGTTGATGAGCATAAAATGTCAGTCTCGAGCAGAAAATTCAAGCTTCAGCGTCAAGAGTTAAGAACCATTAAAACAATGCGTTTTTACTATTCTTTAATGACAGTGGTCTCAAATTCTGTTTGCATGCGGACCGAATACACGATCTGAAAACGGCTGAAGGGTCAGAATTTTTCTTAAATAAAAACTTTTACTAACAAAATAAAAAACTAAAAAGTATTTTAAATAAATTTTAAATTTCGCGTATTAAATACCTTTTGAAACATACCTGAACAATAATAATAATACACTAAATAAAAGATTAATGATGTTGAGTCCCACTTTAGTATACAACTTGACACAGACGGCTTATCATTTGGACAGAATGTGGCGCTGAGAATGCATTTGCGAACGAAAGTGCCCGATTTCATGAAGCGAAGTGCTTGTCTGGCGGGTATCTATACCAGTGGTGGTCGGACCATCCTGAACATCATCAGAAATTGGCCCCGGTCAGCTCAGGAATATAAGGGATGAGCTTTTGCAACAATTTGTAATCACTTTCGCTGCAGCAGTTGGGAATGAATTCATTCTAATTGATTGATTTTCAGCCATCGTGCTCGACTAGTGGAAGACTTCCTTTTTGACAAAGGCATTTTTAAGATGGATCGAACAGTTTGAGACCTGGACATGAACTCAAAATGTTTGGGACATTACAGGGAGAAGAAACCCTGGTCCCTTATGACCCTAGAAATAGTTCAGCAGCTGCTCGCTACTCCCTTCTTGATAACCTCATTGAATCTATGGCTCACAGTTGTGAAACATTGCGATCGGCGAGAGATTACATTACATTTTATTTAAACTCATTTTATGAGGTAACTCACTTTTTGAATCCTTTTTATGGTATGTACAAAATATGCCTTCTTGCTTTTGTACGAAAAAAGGTATCTTCTCCCTCTTTTCTGCATACCTTGGTGGTGTAACGGTAGCACATTGCTTAAAATTAAAAGAACTACTTTGTACATTGGCCACACAACAATACACTAAATAAAAGTAGCTTGAATTTTTTAATTAATAATAATTAAATTGAAAAGTAAAAATTTAGCTTGAATGTTTCAAATTAAAAGTGGACAATGTTATAAAGTATTTTCTGCCTCCTTTCGTGGTGTAACGGTAGCACACTCGGCGCGTATTCGAGAGATCCAGGTTCGAGCCCCGAAGAGGGCACTGCACATTTTTCACGTTTCTTGCTTCAAAATAACTTGATTCTACAGTTGTGCCCGAACTTAAAGCTGGTGGATGATGATGCTTCACCATCAGGATTTGGTGTTGTATCCCCTAATTTCCAGCCGCCCTTTAAAAGGGAAAGTATAAAGGTATTTTCTCACTCCTTTCTGCATGCCTTCGTAGTGAAACGGTAGCATACTCGACGAGTATTCGAGTAGTCTAGGTTCGAATTCCGGCGAGGGCATTGTACATTTTTCACTTCCCCTGCTTCAAAAACATTTAATGATTCCACAACGGGAATAAAGTTTAATTATTTCTTGTTTAGTGCATAATTTTCTTTCTTTATGGCTTATTCGAGAGGTATCATAAAATTTCGAGACCAACTCTGTTTATCCGACGTATCCATACAGCCAAATGCATGGTCAATGAAGAAAATTGTTACAAATGGAGTTGAGTTGAGTTGAGTTGAGTTGAGAGCAGAATCTGGACACCCGTGCGGCTTACTAAGACTATTCGGGTCTAGTCTAGGTTCCGCAACTATCCGGGGCAACACCTCATGGTCCCTATAAGGGCATACATTGATCCTGTATACATGCTTACATAGTTCATAACATATGCTTATAGTTACATAGTTCATAATATATGCTTACATATGTCATGAACTATGTAAGCATGTATACAGGACCAATGTATGCTCTTATAGGCCCCATGAGGTGTTGCCCCGGATAGTTGCGGAACCTGGACTAGACCCGATTTGTAAGAAAAATAATACATATATCCGCACAAATACAAATAATCATCTCTGTATTATTTTTCTATGATCGTGTGGTAACCCCCAGGGCCGTCTTAACGAATGGATTCGTCGGGAACTTACCTGGATGCCCTACCGGCATAGAGACCCATGATAATCCGTTTATATTTCATTTCTGTGAGTGTTTGCAGTATTAGACACGAGTTTGTCCAGGGGACCATAATGCTGTTAAGACGGTATTCCTTGAAGATATAAATTCCTTTATGAATTATATATAAATGACATCAGTTGCAACTGCAATATTTTTAAGAAGGCATGTCACGTGAAATCCCGGTACACTTAGCAGGTGAGTCTTTTAATTATAAACTCTGAAAAAATACTTAATTTTTTTCTCCCAACGCAATAAATATCAGAGAATGTGACGCAATTTCTGAAACGAACATTACTCAACAAAGAAAGCCGCAATGAATAAAAAAAAATGTTCGGTTGATTCTCATTTAGCATTACTCCAACTCTTATACCGGTAGGAGGGGACGCAACTCCACCCCTCCTCACCAAGATGTCTAGGGTCAATATGAAGCTCAAGGTCACCTTGTGAAAGTGAAATCTCAAGGACTTACGGGCAAGAGTCACTCACACTAACTGAAAACGACAAATCTCTTCCGATTGGTCGGCGTGGTAACATGGACACATCCACATTTTCACTTTTTTGCTCATCCAGGTACTCGGCCCGATATATATATAACACACAGTCAGGGTCAGGGTCGACAAGAATTAACAGTTCCATCCTCAGGTGAGTTTCTTCCAACTTTCTCTGATTTTTCTCTTATCTTCTCTGTTCTCACCAGCGTAGTGATAATTACCAAACACAGTCGTAGAGATCGTATCTTAAGACGCAGACTAAGGGCGAGGCTGGCTTTTATTATTTGGTATTTTTAAAGACGTTAAATTAAAAATCTCAGGTACGTTAGATTTCTCTATCGGATTTGTTTACTGTGGAGACGTTCTCATTTAGAACGGTTGATGTTCGAAAGAGACAGTTAAATGGTTTCGAACGCGCTCTAGGTACCCTTTGTGCTTCTACAAAGGTGTAGATTACATCTAAGATACTGGTAATAATTATAACGTCTCGCAAAAGCTTACGCTTGTTTTTATGAGATATTTATACGATGATATTTTACACGGTTTTTTAATGTTTCGACAGCAAATTTTATTGTATTTCATTGATGTTTCATACTTAATATTTCAGACACGTAAGTTGACTTTCGGAGCTGATTGCAATGCTTCGGAATTGTCCCAAGCTTTAATTGATAACATATTTTAATAACTAATCTTAAACCATCTGGCATAAAGTTTTCAAAACAAACAAAAAAAAAAAAAAAAAAAAACAGGAAGAAGATAGAAAATCCGGATGCTTTCAGATTCTATATCACTCCCCAAAGGGTGTTTTTTAACGTTCTGTTTGTTTACCTTCGTTTATTAAATATCATGTTCTTCGCACTTAAATAATTATATGAAAATCAGTTCAACAGCAATGTCATAAAATATTTAAAAAAGGCTAAACAACCTATCTTTAGAATTTCCGCTGGAGAAAATATTTTTTTCTGTGCAGTTTTGCAATTAAATCGTCGAGTTTTTTAATCCAAAATTTGTTAAAGTTTTACAAAATTTGAAGTAGATAATAAAACAAATTCGGAATTCAAAATTCGGGCGCCCGAATGTCCATATTCGGTTGGAGGACTACGTTGTTCAAAACTATGTACCCTTGTTTTTTCACAATGCGAGAAACATTCATGCATTTATGCACATTCTTCATTATTTATTTTCTTTAAATATAATACATGGCGATAATATTGGGTGGCAACAGTTCGAAAAGTTAACAAACGCAGGAAGTGAAATGACGCAAAATACCGTTTTGAGACTTATAGCCCTCTGGGTCTAAAGCCTCTTTTGTACTAATAATATCACTGCATTAATATTAAATGTAGCAATACTGTAGCAAAGCAGGAAAGGAAAATTCCGTTCTTTCCTGTAACAGGGTGTCAGAACTAACTGTTATGAAATTCTCTCAAATCGAATTTTGTTAATATCCTCTATCTAAAAATAGGATTGCATCTAATATTTAATATTTTACACATTTTGTAAACTTTAGTTAAGTTTAAAATAAGATAAAATAGGGAGTTTAAGTTAATAAGGAAATTCAACAAACATTGCAGATTCTGAAATGTAATTACAGTGAATACGGATTTGGTTTGTAAATATATGCAGCTACTTATTAAAAAGTTCAAAATGGAAAAGATTTTCAAGCGAATTTGTTTTTTCATTCTTGCGTGTCTGCAAATTTTTCTGTGGTAAGAAAGTACTATTTTCATAATGTTGTCAAAGCATTGTTAAAAACTCTTTTAAATCTTCATCCTGAACTTAAAATTGTGTAAATCGTTTTCGTGTATTTCGGCAGTAACCACGATGGGCATCAAATAACTTACTATTTAAAAGTGGGTTAGCGGTTTAAAACCGTTGTGCTTAAAATTCCACACAATGAGCTGTGATGAACGGGTTTATTTAGTAACATTTTATTTTAATTAGAAAAAAGGGCGTGAAAAATAAGAAGTTACACTTTTGTCTTCCTTGAGTTTTTTAATTTAATAATTTGGCTAAGAATTATATTTAAAGTATTTTTATGCTTATATATAATTATGTATAAGTATATCTTTTAATTATATATAAGGTAAAATTATAAAAATGGTACACACTAGATAACGTAGGTAGGTATGGAGTGGTCCACCTTTCTGGCAAGTCCAAGCTCGCTTTGTAGCTTTTCTAGACCGGCCACAATAGTTAGCACAGCGTATTCGATAGATCCAGGTTCAAGTCCTGGCAAGGGCATTCCGCATTTTTCATGTCTCTTGCTTTAAGGAAATCTAATGACTCTGCAGTCACCCTCCAACCAAAAGGAGGTGGTTGATGATTTTTAAACTTCAGGATTTGACGATTGTGTTCCCTACTCTCCAGTTGCTCTTCAAAAGGGGGAGCATTTTCTGCATGCCTTCGGTTAGCGCACTCGTCACGTATTCAAGAGGTCCAGGTTCGAGTCCTGGTGAGGACTTTGCTCATTTTTCATGTCTTCTGTTTCAAAAAAACCTAATGATTCTACAGTTAGGTTTTAAGTTTATTGCTTTTTTATTATTATCCACAAAAGTTGGGAATAATAAATGGAATTCCTTTTTGTCAAAATACGAAAGTTTCTAGTCCCGCTTCTTGCGAGTACCTTGTAAAGCAAGAATTTGTTTTTAAAACCCTGTCCTTAAAGAGTTAAGTAAAAAGTGGTTTAAGGGGACTCATACATCTTAAAAACCATGAGATCTTCGAATATGTGACTGTTGCAAGAATTGGGATAACTTATTTATTTTAAAAAGCAATTACTTCCAACCTTTTACAGCTGACTACATAATATAGCTGCTTTTTGAAATAGTAATCAGAAAGTTTGTGTTGCCACAAATATTTTTATAATTTAATCCTCATTGTGACGAAATGTTTCGTTATGTTTCCACCTTGCGCGCACAGTTTAAAGCATTCTGTTGCGTAATTTAATTCCATATTTAATATAAAGCTTTTATAACATTTGGAAATTACTGTGAACCAAAAATTCTAAGAATTTCATGTTAAATTTTTATTTTATTTGGAGTTGAGTTTATAAAATATATTTATTAAAAAAGGTCTGCAATGTTTTCGTCCATAAAATTTTTTAATATTAAAATATTCATCAGATTTTAGGTTCAGTTAGAAAATACTACCCATATAAAGAATTCCATCCAATTTCAAGTATGTACCATTAGCCATTTTTAAAATATCACGCGCGCAAGGTGGAAACATGACGAAAAATTTTGTCACAAAGCGGATTAAATTACAAAAATATTTGTGGCAACACAAACTTTCTGGTTACTAGTTTCCAAAGCAGCTATATTATGTAGTCAGCTGTAAAATGTTGGAAGTAATTGTTTTTAAAATAAATATAATATCCCAATTCTTGCAACAGTCACATATTCGAAGATCATAAGGGGTTTAAGGTGTACAAGGTCCCCTTAAAAGCCACAAAATTTTTAATGCCTAGAAAATACTCTGAGTTTTATTTTTAAATTCGTTAATTAAATGGCATTTGGTTTAACATATTACGAGGCTTTTATTTATTATGTCGATCAATTTGGCATTTTATTATTCATCTTAAACATCGTAATAGTTCAGAAAAATAAGTATGGTAGTGTTACGTTCGTAATAAATTAAATAAATTTCATATTTCAATTTACAAAATCATAAAATTTCATCAAATAACAATAGTAACAATTTTTTGAAATCTAACTATTAAACACATTAAAATTATTCATAAAATAATAAGTTTCGTATAACAAATTGAATTATTTTTTATTAATTTTTATATATTAATTAATTCATTTTGCATGAAAAACCAAACTAAAAATTCAAATAAATATATGCTCCTTTTAAATTTTTTATAAATAACACTTTCAGTTGTCTTTTAAAAATATGAATTACATTTTTATTAGAATACTATATCAATTTTGAGGCGTTTACCAAAAGTAAAGAAATCTCTTCATCCATTATGATTGCATAATCAAAGTTTACGATGCCATACGAGGAAATTTTCTTCCAGTTTACAGCTTAGATCCAAATAATAACATTTTCTAACAGCTAATACAGAATGTGACATTCCGCAGCTATTTTAAGCTCGTGGAGAATTTTGTTTTTCTTTAAGTAATCGATAACAATTTTTTTGAAAAAACATTCTTCGGAAACATCAAAAAATAGAGATTTAATGACTTTTACTTAAGAGCTCAGTTTTCTGATTTTAAAGAGTAAAATACAAAATAAACTAAACAGAAATTTTAAATGAATTTTTTTTATCGGCAAAAGTCAAGTATATTAAAAAAATTATATTACGAGAGACAATATTTATATAACCGTTATTTGAAAGTGAAATAGAGGATTTAATTGAATTAAATTTTTTCTCCTAAGACGGGCACTAGCTATTATAGGCTTGGCCGCTACTACTAAGACCGGAAGCGGTGGTCACTTTATCATGGAGGCACCTAATATGTGGTGGGCCACCGTTGTTTTCTATGAAGGGACAGACAATTTACATCAATGCCTTCACCGGAATTCGAATTCGGACTCTTCGGTGCTGCAATCAGAGTCAATAACCACTTTCACGACTAGGCGGGAATTAAGTTAAAATCCGATAACTTATAAGGGCATTTTCTCCCTCTTTTCTGAATGCCATCGTGGTGTATGGTAGCACATTCGGCATGTATTCGAGAGATCCAGTTTCGAGTCCAGACGAGAACACTGCTCATTTTTCAATTCTTCATCATCAAAAAAATAAATAAATAAATAAATAAAAATCTAATGACTCTTGCTAACTTATTTCAGTGTATAATTAAATAAAATACTATGTGTTATTTCCTGATATTTCTGTAATACCACTGTTTTTCTTTTAGAGCTTTCATCTGAAAATTTTCCGTCATGATGATTGGATTCATCCTTCTCTTGGGTGAGTATAGTAACATTACTGAAACTTTAGTTCATTGGTCTCAAATTAGCGGCCGGCGAAGCACTTTTACGCGGCCCGCGAATAAATTTACAGTATCTTCATTAGCATTTTTATGATATTAATTATTATGGCAAGGTTTTGAAGAAAGTTCAAGATTTAGTTTAAAATAACACGCCGATTAATTTAGAAGGCAAAGAACAGAAATCAGCGTTATATTTGCAAATTTTCACACGACTAGTTTCGATAGTTTTACCAAACCAGCAGCCTCAGCTGCCAAAGTGCAAAAGTCAGTTATTAAAGTTGAAGATTTTAAAAATTGACTCGAATATGACAATATTTTCATTACCATTGCAAATGAGCGTGAGTAGCGCCTCAGAAAAATTTACAGATAGAGCTAATAAATTTGCAGCATAATATAATTCACATTCAAGGATCTGAAGATACAGATCTGGTTCACTTTTTTTTCCGAAATTACCAAAAGATGTATAACTTCAATTATGAATTTTTGCGATAAGAATGATGGATATGTTTGGAAATGCATATATATCTGACCATTTCTTTTTAAAGTTCGAAATGAATAAGTCTAAAAGATGATTCAGATTGGCCAGTGAGCATCTAAAATTCGTGACGAAGGTTATTTTTACTAATTTTCTTCAAGTTTAAATTTTATTGAAATCGAAACGCGATCAGGTGTTGTAGCAAAAAATAATAAGAGGTTAGATTAGGTTACTTTTACGGCAAAGCCTCGAAGGCTATCTGCCTAAGGGGAGGGATGCCTTCGTGGAGCACTTTCTAAGGGAAACTGGCTCGTATACACGTTACACATAGGAAAAAACACGAAAAACACCCATGCAGCCAGCCCGTTTGCGGGATTCGAACCTCGGACCGAACTACCAGTGTTCAGCGACTTTACCGCTCGGCCGCTGGTGGGCCCGAAAATAATAAGAAGAAATAGAGAAGTTTGTAATTATTTATTACTTATACAGATATATATTTTTGCTATATGTATCAAATAAAATTTTATAAATTAAGGAAAGAGAATAGGTTTAATTACCTATTTTTATGTTCTGTCCCACTTGGACAGTTTTTCTAATTTGTTTTATGTTTAGTTTATGATGGATGTAAGTTATTTAATGGTTTAATTCAACGCGTTAGAATTATTTGAAATACATTTCTGTATGAAATTTTATTATTTAGCTACCATTACCTTTGAATAACGATACGTAACAATCAGATATTTGTTACAGATACCGACCTTAAGATTTCAGAGAGAAAATAAATAAAAATTTGAATTTTTTCCTTTGTGTCATGAATGTTATTGTTGATGTAAATAAACATTTAGTAAGTAAAATTTAAAATTTATTTTTAATTATTTATCATGCAAAATTTAAAACTTTTGCTTCATTAAACAAATCTTTTTACTTGGGGGGGGGATAATTTGCCGCCCCTTAGCTCCTTAAAGATCATGATTCGATCTACCTGCAGTTTGAGTTTAAAACCACTGCTTTAGTTGTTAGGAATTTATTTTCAAGTATGTGGCATTTTAAATCTGGCATTTAATCGGGTTCTTTCTTTATCATTTCATTTCAGTTCTTGGTGGAGCTTTTGCCAAAAGCACTAAGTTGGTAAGTGATTAATTTATTTAAATTTATTTTCTTATAATTTAACTACTACTTTTCTAATACGATGAAACTTATTAATGTGAAACCAACTACGTACTGAAGCAGATTCAAATATGTATATATTAATTATATATACATTTTATCTTGAACTTCCACGACATTTTCCGACCATTCTCACTATTTTAAGCTTTGATAAATGAAAAATAGAAACCTAAATAACTTTAAATACTGACCTAAAATACTGCTTAAAATAGTGACTAAAATTTATCATCGTTTTAATTAAATTTCTGTTCTTTGGAGATGATATATGTAAAATCTTTTCTAATAATTATGCGTAAATATATATATGCCGCCTAGACGGAATAGTGTTTATGGGAGGTAAACCGCTGAGTTGGCTTCCGACCCAGGTACAGATAAATCCATGCAGAATTGGTTACCAACTCGGCGGGAGTCAACCACTAGCTACCAGGCCGCAGCCCTAGGCAGCCCCGGCTGAGCATACGACATTTATAAAATGCAAAAAAGAGATATACATGTGCATACAAGGCACTTGAATAAGAGTACAACAATGTCCAAAGAAATATATACATGTGCCTACAAGGCACTTGAAGAAGAGTACTATCATAATATATGTATATACATATAAATACCAACTCATATACAGATATATACACACTTACATACATAGATATTTCGAAACAAATAAAAGTATACATACTCTCACTCATATTCATATATACACCCATACATATACGCTATCATGATAGTTAAAGTTTACAAGAAGCACGCCATTGAGGTACGCGTGATAATTAGTATAAATTAGGTACCACAAATAAGAGATATAAACATGTACAGATACATTACTGCATTCAGATACAGTACGAGCCTTATGTATGAGAACCTGGCACAGCATAAATACAAAATTACATATTGAACATACATATCACATACTCTGTTGCTGACATACTGAAGTAGCTTATATAGACTTTTATGGCTACTATCTTCCAGTGTCAGAAGAGTAATTGCGAGTACAGTAGTCAATTATTGTTTTCAGTTTTCGTTGGGCAACTCTGTTACTTTGTAGATTCTGGAACCAATTTGGCCAGAATCTGGCTCCTGGTTGCTTGAGGCTGTTAAGTGCTGTTTGTGGGCAAGAAGTGTTTAGGGAAGCCTGATTGTGATACCGAAGGTCCCGGGTTCTAATTCCGGGGAAGGCATGGATGTAAAATTGTCTGTCCCTTCATAGGAAGTAATGGTGGCCACTTATTAGGTGCCTCCACAATAAAATGGCCCACACCACGTCTGGCCTTAGTAGTGGCCAGTGCCCTTATAGGCAAGTGCCCGCCATTAGAAAAAAAAAAAAATAGCTAGATAGGTAAGTAGGTAGATGGATATATTTGTCGTTCCTGATAAGCGGAGATTGAAATACAATTTATGTTGCCATATTTTAGAAAATGTTGATATATGTTTCAAAATGTCTCAGTATGTGACACATAAATTAGAAAAGTTCTTAGCAACGTTTGCGTAAAGGAAAGTTTAAAGTATTCCATTTGCTTTACATTAAATATTATTAACAAGAATTAAGTTTTATTACTACAGTGTAATTTAAAAACAATTTGAGAATACTTAAGGTATTTCTTCCACCTTTTTGGCATTCCTTCGTGGTGTGGTGGTCTGCACGCTCAGAGCGTAATTGAGAGGTCCGTGGTTCGATTCCCGGTAAAGGCGTTTGCTCATTTTTCGTATTTCCTGCTTCCAAATAATTCTAATGTCTCTACAAGGTACACAGAGCTGTACAAGAATCACTAATGATATCAAAGACAGTTATGTAAATGCCACCCTTTGTCGAAGCAACGAATATTAAAAAATACTTTCTAACAAGGAGATCATTAAATATTCTTTAATATTTGTATAATAAATAATACGGTTTTAGATTGTTATTGATAGTACCTAACCGTTTACGAATTTTAATGTAGTATATTAAATTGAAAATTTAAACGCATTCAAATAACTACTTAAATGCTAGCAAATATTTATTAAAGAAATTTATGGTCCACTGAATTAGTGAATTTTAAAATTAGTTAAAGAGAATTTTTTTAAAAAAAAAGTTCTTACGAGGCGTATTCGGAAAAAAAAAAAAAAAAAAAAATAGTAAAACAATTTTTTCGAATCCAATTTTATTTTTACATGAAAATACATGTCTTAAACTATTTTCAACATAGTTTCCGCCAATGATCAAAAACACTTGTCATAGCAGGTGACCAGTTTTTGTATACCATCGTCAAAGAAACTTCCCGCCAGTTTCGATAACCACGACTCCACAGCATTTTTCGTGTCATCGTCAGATCCAAAGCGCTTGCCACCAAGCTCGCGCTTCATGTGCAGGAACACGTGATAGTCGGACGGCGCCAAGTCCGGGCTGTACGGCGGGTGATCGAACTGCTCCCAGTGAAATTGTCGAATTAACGATTGAGTGACACCAGCAGCATGGGCCGAGCATTGTCATGGAGCAACACAATTCCTTTACTGAGCATTCCTCTCGTTGTTTGAATGGCACGCCTTAGTTTTGTTAAAGTCTCACAAATATCATGCCGCATTAATGGTTTCACCTCTGGAAAGAAATTCAGTAAGCAAAAAACGCCTTTTTCTATCACAAAAAAGACAGTGCACATCATTTTTGTGATGACATTGTCACTTTGAACTTTGTTTTTTCGGAGAATGAGTGTGTCTCCACTCCATCGATTGTTGTTTCGATTCTGGTGTGAAATGACTAACCAAGTTCATCACCTGTCACAATTTGGTTAGAAAGTTTTCTCCCTCACCACTGTACCGCGTGAGAAATGTCAGGGCACTACCAAGTCGCTTTGTTTTGTGAACATCAGTGAGCATTTTTGGAACCCATCGGGAACACAGTTTGCGGTAATTCAAGCGGTCAGGCACAATTTCGAACAAAACAATACGTAAAATTTGTGGAAATGCCTCTGAAAGAGTTGTCATTGTGAAGCGTCTGTTCTCATGAATTGCTTATCAACTTTCCTTACCAAATCATCGGTGACAACAGAAGGCCGACCACTCCGAGCCTCGGCGTGGACATTTGTTCGACCTGCATTAAACATCCTTACCCACTTTCTCGCCATTCCATCACTTATCGCGTATTCACCGTAAACTTCTGTCACTTGACGATAAATTTCGGCCGGTTTAACATTCCTCGCGTTCAAAAATTTAATCACGGCACGAATCTCACAGTCAGCGAGAGAACTAATTGTCTTAAACATTTTGAATGTGCCCAGCAAACTGAAAACACAACATAGAGCAACCAAAATGGCGACAATTGAAAGTCAGTGAACAAGAAAGACTAGTGCGCATGCGCGGGACGCCTACCACAGCGCTGCGACGGCGCTAGAATGAAACGATACTTAGTTTTCGAATACGCTACGTATTTTCCTACAAACTGATTCTTTTGAAACATTTCTCTTAAAAAAACTTTCAGACATCAAAATGGGTTTACTTATCATAATCACTTGAAAACAAGCCGCCTCGAATTTAAGATCCCGTTACATTTTAGAATTAATTTTAAAAAATTAATGATGGATCCCTGGTGGTTGGATACTTGATGTAGTTGGATGCAAGATATAAGTAGGGTTGTCAGTGTAATTCATTTCATTCTGATTAAAATAAAACGTAAGCTACTTAGTTAAATATAATACTTTAGCAAAGTGTAGAAAGCTAATACACAAAATATTAGTGATTCATTGTTACCTATCTTTGTCGGCACTACATCCACTACACTAGTGACTAATATAGTGAATGAAAGATCTAAGTCCAAATCACTCAACCAGACAAGACTATTGTAATAAACAGTAGTTATACAGCTTTTATATACGATAATGACCTGTGTGGTGTATTTACAATTCCAACATCGTAATTACATTATGTAATTATATTTTTATTGTTTTAGTAGCGCGTGGAACCGGCGCTCGATTTTGCAAATTTAACGACATCAAAATTCTGCCGCCGGATTCCTTCTTTAATTCTAAAAATTTTGCCGCCTTTAATTCTGCCGCCCGGTGCGGCCTCAACGGCTGTACACGCTATGGCAGCGGATCTGCTAGTGAGAAACCCCCCTAGATGAGTGGGCTGTGGCGAAAGCAAAATTTATATGTTCTATGTACACTTGAAAAGATATGTATAAAAATATATTAATAATAATTATTATAGAAAGAATTTAACCGTGAAAAAAAAAAAGAATTTTTAATATGAATAAAAGAATTAAAATTAATATGAAAAAAAAGAATTTTTAACACCTGAAAAAAAAAAGAATTTTTAATATGAATTTAAAAAAATTAAAAAGAATTTTTAATATGAATTTAAAAAAATTAAAAAGAATTAAAATTAATATGAATTAAAAAGAATTTTTAATATGAATGAATTCAGTTCTACATTCTCAAACTATTTCAGCCTTATCTTGACTCACCTCAGTTTATCCTTGTCTTGCAAAAAATCTCAGTATTCGCTTGACTAACTTCAGCTTTTTGATGAAAATTTTGTAAAAAACATCACTTACAAACACCAAAGAAAAAGTGACGGAAGAATAAACAGACCGCGTGATTCCATAAAAAATTTACCACACCTACGTTTAGAAACTATGGACGACAATTTTAAAATTCCATCTCCTACACCGAACGGCAATGAAATTCAGCAAAAGACGCAACTTGGCAGGATGCGCGCAAATCAGCGTTTCAGAGTTTTTAGTTAATATCTCTACTGATTAAAGCCATAAGAAGATACGAATGGTCGAAATGGCTTCCCGCGCCTTTTTTTTTTTTTTTTTTTTTTTTTTTTTTTTTTTTTGAATATGGGAGTACTTTTCTTGAAATTCAAATCCCCGCTGTTCTGAAGGAGAGGATGTTGCGAACAAAAAAAGCAGACAAACGCGTGCACGTTTTAACAGTATTAATTCTTCAATTTCATTCATCAAAATACCCGATAATGAGACCTTACCAAGTTTTAGAACCTAAATATAGCCAAAAAAAAAAAAAAAATGGAAAAGAATCTTTCTTATATTCGAGTACATGCGGTATGTTATTCAGCATCTGTTTGTTCTTGTTGTGACTTATCACACTTATCTGACGGTAACATAAGCACACAAGATTCACAGTGGCCAAAGGTGACAGAACAACTTCCCTCAGTTCCTCCCCCAATTTTGAAGAAAAGCATACCGGGGGGATGGCTCGGAGGGTTTCCCACGTCTCTTCTCCTACCACCAACCTCTCGAAAGGACTTTCGGAGTCGCCATATATTGAGAGTGCCCCCATGCCGCAAAGACACTATACATTTACAAACGTCCATGCCTTCTCCGCAATTCGAACCCGGGCCCTTCGATACCTCAGTAGAGTTCCCTAACGATACCTCGTGGGGGGCTATTTTGCATTTACTGAATGTTTCAGAAAATGTCTCTAATTTTCCTTTACAGCATAAATACTGTGATTAATTAATTTTGCTTCCATCGAATAATATAAATTCTTTATGTTTATTTATAGCAAGATAAGAAAGATAGCTATGCTTTGCCAGAAGGAGCTGAACTGCTAGTGGGTCCGATTAGGTCCACCTTCTCTTGCTTTAGTAATGGCTACTACGCAGACGTTGACAACAACTGCCAGATATTCCACATCTGTTATACAACCGATAATCCAGACGGCACAAGAAGCCAGCACCAGTATAGCTTTGTGTGCGGAAATCAGACGGTGAGAAAAATTTTGCTTTAGCTTCCACTACTTCTGAGTTGTTCCTTTGTGTATACAGGATGTTCCGAAAACACTGACCACGGCTTTTATTCCTTAAATATGATCGTACATATGTTACGGTGAAACACCGAAATCTGGAGAATGTCGACTTTCACCGGTGAATGTCAACATTCACATAGTCTCTTGGTGTATGTCCGAAATATTTTCCAAATACCCTTATTTCTGACTTACACCGGTCAATGTCGACATTCACCATGTATTGATAGTGAATGTTGAACATATAAGAATATTATATTTTCTTCTCCGTCATTTAGTCGCCAATAAACGCACTTGAGATTCAGGAATAAGAACTTAAGAAGATAAGAACTTAAAACACACAGAACATTCAAAATGAGAAACAAAAATAATAGAAGTTAAAAACTTACTAAATTATGTGATTCAAATCTTATTTATTGCAACAACTTAAACTATTATGACACTTTGAATTGCACAAGAGGCCCTTGCTTTTAGAACTGCATTTATTTGTGGAACACTTCCTTTTGCAATGGCAGCGTGTACATATACTCCTCTCTTTTCGACCTACACCAGAGCATATCTGTGATTGTCGACATACATCGGTGAGGGTCCGAATGTATAAGAATGTAATGCAATCTTCGAACTTTCACCGACGTATTTGGTGAATGTTGACATTCTCCAATTTCGGTCTTTCACGGTAATACATATATAATATAAATTACATGGTTATGTAAAAAAAGGGTACAGAGTTTTACGAAATCAATTAAAATTTTCAAAGAATTTATTTTAAAGAAATGCGAAATTTGCATTTTTATATGGCCCCCATGCAGAAAAATTCTCAGTTAGAAAAATGTAGCCCATACACTAATAAGGTCATGTACAAATTTCAGCATTTTATCATAAAAAGCCGCAGAGATATGAAATTACATAAATGCTGACTTAAACCACTTTTGCCTGGCTATAATTAGGAGAAATATAGTTTTGTAAATCTGTAAATAAAAGTGAAGATAAAGTTCCGTATTTTATATGGTTATGTTACATTTCTACATCCCGTCATCTACGATCTAGCTGTTAGCATTTACATTTTAATTTATGTTCAACCCCTCACCAACTTTGTTTAAACATATCTCAGCGAATTTTTATGACAAAAATGCTGAAATTTTGTACATGACCTTGTCTAACGTTTATTTTATTTTAAAACTGTACTATCACTTCTTATTTTCTACTTCCGGCCATAATTAAATGCTTTAACTTGTTTATGCAAATTGTCTTGCTAACGCCAAGTGCTTAAGTTGTGGCTTTTTGCCAAGCGAGAAAGGAAGGAGTTATACGAAGCAAGCCGCTTGCCACTGTAGTTTAAGGAGTTTTTCACTCTGTTGCTGGTTGCCTCTAAAGCCAGAGGTTTAGCCCTCTTGTTATTTGCGAATGTATTGTAGTTTAAGCAGCTCGGCGTACTACATACGTACCCATTTTAAATAAAGGCCAGTCTTAGGGCTACGCATTTGTATACTAATTCCAAGTTAGATTTTAGTTAGAGTTTAGTTAGTAGTTTTATATTCTTACGTTCAGACCACGAGTGGTTGGTCTCTGTATTCCGAAGTTTCGGAAATACCTGTAAAAGATAGAAAATAAAGGGTTTCGTATACCCTTCCCTGCTTGTGTTGTCTATTTCACACCTTCCTGAACATAGCTTGAGTAAGCTCCCTGTTCCTATTCAGGACCATTCATGTTCCCAAAGCAAATCAAGAGAAATACAACCTTATCGGTGTATGGGCACATATTGCTAACTGAGAATTTTTTTTCTTTATGGTGTGGGCTATCTAAAAATTAAAATTTTGTATTTCTTTAAATTTAATTCCCTGAAAAATTTAATTACCTTGTAAAAAATTTTACAATTTTTTTTTTTTAACGTAACTTTGTAATTTTTTATTATAAGTCTACGATCATATTTAAGGAACAAAAGATGAGGTCAATGTTTTAAGGATATCCTGTACAGTAGTCAAACTCAGATTCGGTGAATGTTTAAATAGACATATAATTAAATTATCTGAAGCAATTTCAAGTCTAACGTAAACACATTATTACACTATCTGAAGCCATTTTAAGTACCTATATGGATTTCAAACATAGTAAATAGCATCTTAGCTTAATAACAATATTTTATTGTTTGGCTTTATAGGTATCAAAGTTACTCGAAAAAACGAAGAGGAAATGTAATAAAAAGCGTAATGTTATACGTGAAGGATTTCACGAAATAATTAAGGTTAGGTACTAGGATACAGATGTTGAACCAACCACTACTAACAAGTTTCTTATATCCGGGAGGAAGATATTAGTTCTCAAATTATTAATAGTGTTGTTTAATTAGAAATTATCCCTATTGGGGAATTTAGAAGCCGAGTTGCTAGTAATTAGAAGGGCGTAATTTGTGTTATCCATAACCTGGATTCTGAAACCTTTTTGAAGGAACAAATGCCTAATGCTATCCAAGTGTAAGTATTTCAAAATTTCAAGGAATTCTTCTGTATTATGATAATAGTATAGAAGATCGCAGAAAAGGTACAAGACGTAAGTTCTTACATACTTTGATTATTTGTATTGCAGTTTTATTATTATTTATTACGTTTTATTTAGTTCAATTAATTATTTGAGTTAAACAATTAACTGCTTTCACAATTACTCACAGGTTCTAAAAAGGTGTTAAGTCATTTATCATTAATACCTCTAAACGGTGTTTAATCATTTATCATTAATTATTTTCCATATTTGCGAATATTTGAAATAATTTAAATAGCTATAATTGAGTCATATTTCAGGTTATAATAACGGATTTAAACAGTAATATACTCTGGTGTCAATATCTTCGAACTTTTAAACTAATTTTATATATTACAATCTTTATAGTTTGCAAAGAATATAAATTTCGTTAGAAATAAAGCTATAGTATGCTTGAAGCATATAATCTGATGATAAAATATTTTGAGTTATTTAATCAGCACCACCTTAATGATTGAATATTAATACTAATTCCAAGAGATTTTGTTTTGTGTGCTACACAGAGGTATTTCAAAAACATTACACGAATAAATATTTTTTGAAATGTAAATCCATACTAAGATATAAATTAAAGCAAGTTTTCCTGGTATTATATTTTGACCACTTTATAAAAACTTATGAAATTTGAATTTTTGAAAGTGAATTTTGACTGAAAATAAGTGTAACGAAAATTATTTTTCACATCATGTCAGTCAAATAATAGCTTCTCATCCCAGAAGGATTAAAATTATCCAGGAGATTATTAATTAAAACCTTAATCACGAAAATTGTTAAAGAATCTTAGGATGTATATTTGTACGTATATATATATAGATATAGATATATATCTAAGATTAAAAATATCTAAATCAAAACTATAATTTAAACTAAGGATAACCTCATAATCCCTCCTCTTTGTTTAAATATCATAATAACTTTTCAGGACTGCGTCATTTCTAGATCAATCCATCTTGCATGGCTTTCGTGACGTAGCTGATTCGGAACCTGAACTCACAATTTCGCGAACTGAAACCTTCTAAACAAAAACATTCTCTTGGTGAGCCTCCATATTGGATAATGTCATGTTAGTACTAGTACCTTCGTACATGCTAGTACTAGTCCCTTCTAGAACATTTATTAGGTAACCGCTACTATAAATAACGAATGTGACCATTTAGCGACACAACAACAGAAGCTCCTCTCCTCCTGCGCTACAAGCTGCTGCTTTTCTGCCTTTCTTTGTTCAAAGTATTACGCGCTGAACTTAAAGTAATCTTATTTAGTGATTGCGAAAGAATGGCATATATTAAAAATGCGAAAAAATGACATGCCAATTGAAACTGAGCATACGAGTGAAAGGAAAACAACAGTAACTGACGACGTTAAAACGTACCTCGGTTAACGTTGTTTTACTTGCTATGATCACTCGTCATTTAAGCTGCAGAATCTAAATGCACCTCAGATGTTTTCCGATCCGGAATGACGATAAAATTCCCTTTCTATGGTCTGATTCATTTCTTATGTGGTCCGATGTAAGATAACTTTAAAGGGAAATTATTTCAAAGAAGGTGTTTAAATTATTTCAGGTCTTTAACCAGCTGACATTTACTTGCACGTACCCGGAGGATGCTGTCCCCTGCGTCAACGCTCAGGACTTCTACTATTTGAACACCCACGTTGAGGCAGCTGATCCAGATGTCCACTTCCTCGATGACCAGGACATACAGCGAGCCGCCCCTCTCATAGCTGGTGAACCTTATTCACGAAGAGTTGAGAAGCCAGTTGCCGGCTACCAACCAGTCCGAAGGAGATTCGATTTCGAAAAGTAGAAGATTTAGTGAATTCATCCGTTCAGCTGTGCCATATACCGGTTCTCTATATGTTTAATAGACTGTATTCTACAAAGAACGAAGTTGATCATTTGCAACTGAGTACCCGTTGCAAATTATTAACGCTGATTAACAACATGTTTCTGGTTAATCAAAAGAATTTTCTGAAATTAGCAATCTTCATCGTCAAATCAAAATGTTTCTCTGGGGTGCCGATAGTCATGAAAACATACATCTTTAATTAATTAACTGAAACCCTTGTACAGTTAAACAATTCAGGTTTAACATGCATTTAATTCTAGCCACATTTTTGCGGTTCCAGTTATAGAATTAGCCTACATAAAAGACCTAAGACTTCTCTTGTAAATTAACTTTTCCAACGCAAGCTTTAGTGAAAACCTTCCAATATTGTATTTAATCGTATGTGTAATTTGCATAGCTTAGTCTTTCTAAAATTGCAATTGTTAATGTACGTAGGAAAAAATATTAATTCCTTACGAGTTAAGACAGTGTTAAATCTTCTGATATAGAATGCAGACCTAAAGGAACTAATTAGAAGAAGTGAGAAAGTACGAAAACTACAAAATTTCAAAAAAGTAATTCGAAATACTTTTTTGAGGTACAACGCTTGACAAAAAGAGATTCAAATTATTCTTGTAATGATTTAATAATAAGTATAGCTATTAATTTTGTGAGAAGTCTGTGTTTTGCAACTGAAAATTAGGGGAAAAAAGGTGTGTTTTTTTTTTGGGCATCATGTAACATGAGATCGGAGTTCTTGAGTTGCCGACTTTCTTGAAGCAATCTATCATTCTCAAAATCACGCTGAAAACCGTACGAATCCTTTTTCACGATTTGTTTTCCAGCATTTGTTTCATGACGCTCGTAAGGAGCATCTTATAGCGTGCCAAATCTCTTGCTCTTGTGTTTGTTTTTTGTATCTTAATGTGTTTGTTAAATAAAGCATGTTCAAGGCAAAATTTGTACGTTACTATTTGTACTATTAAGAGAATTCAAATAAGAATATAAAACATTGTACAAGATCAGTCCACATGGTGTACTTTTACTGTAAACATGCCTATAAAATAACCCAAAGCCAAAGTACAAAAATATTAGATTCGCTATATTCTACATTGACACGAGGCGTGTAAAACATTTATGAAGAAACACAGAATAGAATGAAGAATTCTTAAGTTTACGTATGCGAATATAAAACGAATAAAACACACACACACACACACACACACACACACACACAAAAAAAAAAAAAAAAAAAAAAAAAAATCTGAAATGTTTCAGATTTTAAATTACGTCCAAAGGGCGTTTTTTAACATTTTGTGTGTTACCTTTCTTTATTAAATATCATGTTCCTCGCACTTAAACCATAAGATCCAGTGCAACAGCAATATCGCAAAATAGTTTTAAAACGAGCATATCTTTAGAATTTCCGATACAGAGACTCACGCGCTGGAGATAAAAATGTTTTTTCTGCACAACGTTGCCATTGCTCGCTTTGAAATCCTTGAGTTTGTTAATCAAAAATTCGTCAAAGTTTTAAAAAATAGGAAATCGATCATAAAACAAATTTCAAATTTCAAATTGGGTCTTCCACATGCTCATATTCGTTGGAGGATTACGTTATTCAAAATTCGATGACTCTATGTACCGTTGTTTTATGACAATGTGAGAAATATACATACATTTACTCAGATTTTCATTATTTAATTTCTTCAAATATAATGCAGGACTCTTAACATTTTATGGCAACAGTTTGAAAAGTGAACCGACATTTATCCGTCCGACGCAAAATGCCAAAACGAAACTAATAGTCCTTTGGGATTCAAATCCCTTTGGACTAAAAAACTGAAGCTTTTGGATTTTTTTAATTACGCCCAAAGAAGAGTTTTTTAACATTTTGTGTGTTACCTTTACTTATTAAATATCATGTTCTTCGCACTTAAAACATAAAATTCAATTCAACAGCAATATCGCAAAATATTTAAAAGAGAATTTTCGATGTACGCTCTTGCATGATGGAGATTAAAATGGTTTTTTTTCGGTACAATGTTGCCATTGCTCGCTTTGAAATCGTTGAGTTGGCTAAGCAAAAAGTCTTTAATGTTTGACAAGTTGTTTGACTGTTGCAAGAATTAGGATATTTTACTTATTTTAAAAGCAATTACTTCCAACATTTTACAACTGACAGGATAATATAGCTGCGTTCTGAAATAGTAATCAGAAAGTTTGTGTTGCCATAAATATTTTTATAATTTAATTCGCTTTGTGACAAAAGTTTTTGTCATGTTTCCACCTTGCGCGCACAGTTTGAAACATTCTGTTTTAATTCCATATTTAATATAAAGCATTTATAACATTTGGAAACTACTGTGAACCAAAAATTCTAAGAACTTCAAGTTAAATTTTTATTTTATTTGGAGTTGAAACTATAAAATTTATTTTATTAAAAAAAACCTGTATTGTTTTCGTACATAAAATTTTTTAATATTAAAATATTCATCAGATTTTTGGTTCAGTTAGAAGATTATAACCGTATAAAGAATTCCATCCAATTTCAAGTATGTACCATTAGCCATTTTTAAAATATCATGCGCGCAAAGTGGAAACATGACGAAACATTTTGTTCCAAAGCGGATTAAATTACAAAAACATTTGTGGCAACACAAACTTTCTGGTTACCAGTTCCCAAAGCAGCTATATTATGTAGTCAGCTTTAAAAAGTTGGAAATAATTGCTTTTAAAATAAATAAAATATCCCAATTCTTGCAACAGTCACATTTTCGAAGATCATGAGCAGTTTAAGGTGCATGACTCCCCTTAAGCGGCCGAGCGGTAAAGACGCTGAACACTGGTAGTTCGGTCCGAGGTTCGAATCCCGCGAACGGGCTGGCTGCATGGGCGTTTTCGTGATTTTCCCCATGTGTAACGTGTATACGAGCCAGTTTCCCTTAGAAAGTCCTCCACGAAGGCATCTCTCCCTTTAGGCATATAGCCCTTGTGTGCTTTGCCATAATTGAATAATCCAATCCAAAAAGGTATTTAGGTGAAAAATCTTTCTCGGCGTTTGTGGCAACAGAAGCAAAATATAGAAATATATTAATGCGCAGTGAAACTGCAGATAACATAGTAGATCATAAAGACTTTTGAAGTAGGAAATGGGAAACATGAGCAATACACTCGCCGCGACGCGAACCTGTACCTTTCGAATACTCAGAGAGCACCGTTACACCGGAAAAGCATACTGGAAAGAGGGAGAAAATACTTTATAACATCAAAAAACTACACTTCGAGAGTTTGTGGGAAAAGAAAACTCTGCATACACACTCCTGTTACTAAACATAATAGAATGGTAGCTGACAGCTAAAGCACGAGTTAAAGCTTGAGTAAATTTCATTAATTTTATGTTAAAATCTTTGTGTTGTTGGGACTATGCCTGGAACTAAGTATATCTCTTGGCAATTCCTTGATTAGATGTGTAAGCGACTAACACAAAACAGAACTTAAGAAGGGTGTAAAAGACCCTTGCATTCAGAACTCAAAATAATTTAACAGAACGCACTTCCGTGTTTATAAACCAGCCAGCATTTATGGCGTAACTCAGAATGATAGGATTTTATATAAAAAAATAAATCTTAAATTAGACAAAGGTTACACAGAAACAACTAACGCACAAATTGTCTCAAACCTATATCGGGTAATACAAGCACTATGGGCAAGAATAACGCAACGCCGAAGATAGATTGCCATCGTAGAACTGCCACTAGTAACGACGCCTTCAGCAGGCGGAACACGCTCGATTTAAACAGCCTAAAACCTTAATTAAGACACAATAACACGCCGAATAAGTACTAATTCAGAAGTCAAACAATAAAAATTAGCGTTAATTTTCAAAATTTTCACAGAACTAGTTTCGATGGTTTTACCGAACCACCATCTTCAGCTGCAAAACCGAAAATGAACAAGATAGGAAAAATGATTAGATAAGATAAGAAAGCCTGGACAAAGAATAAGCAAGTAGTGAAACCAGAACTAAAACACAATTTCTTTAAAGGCCAAAGGCAAAGATGGATTGGAATTAGGATCGTTAACAAGAACAGAAAGATTTTTTTTTTGAATGTGAAATGCCTCTAGAAAATCCAGTTCTCCAATCGAAGATGCTTTTTGAATAATTTTGGCAGCAGAAAAATTGAAAGTGTGATTTTCGGACCAACAATGTTGAGCAACAGAAGGACTTCTGGTGTTTCCTTTTTTCTAAACATATGCCTCATGTTCCTTGACGCTAAATTTCAATGCTCTCTTAGTTTGGCCAATGTAAATTAAACCACACTGGCAAGGAATCCTATAAATACCCCAATAATTCATATCCGGAATAGGGTCCTTGAGTATGGAACTCGGAATTTTATTGATGGAGAATAAACAACCCGAAAGTTAAATTTCTGCAAAATATGGGCAACTTTATAGCTAATTATTTTGAAAATTAACGCTGATTTTTGTTGTTTGACTTCTGAATTACCCTAAAACCTTCCTTTAATAGTACCTCTTTCTACCTCATTTGAATAGGCGCGAACTAAAAAATTAGCATTCTGGCAGGAAAACGGAAAGACAGAATGATAGAAAAGATATTTAACATAAAATAAGTGGTTAGATAAAATAAGTAAATTCCTACACTCTTTAGGTAAAGTGCCCATAACATATTCAACTACTTTAAATTTTATTTCATAATACATTTTTCTAACAATGGAATGAAATTTCTGGAAATAAACTTGTAGTCCTAAGGATTCCGTGAGTTAGCAAAGTGTGAAGGCCGAAGATAGATTGCCATCGTAGAACTGCACAATGTTTTGGAACAAACTGAACAATGTTTTGGATTACTAGTGAAGAATAACATTGAAACTTAACTTTTATTTCACGCTGCTTGGAAGTAGCGTGCATCGTATAAACAAAAATATTGTTGCGTGCGTAGAGTCTAGTAATATATTGGTTAATAAAAATTTATTTTATAGAACTTCAAAGTTCTGGAATTTTTCGTAGAAATACTAGTACGGGAATTCATAGTATCGCAGAATACAATCATCAGTTACGCATCAAACTATTAAGAACGTTAAACACAACGCAATGCAAAGGGCATCTAAAGATAAAGCTAATTCGGATATATCAGTTCACGCGGAACTAAACAACTCGCATCAACAGTAACTAAGCAACTGAGAGCAAATGCTTTCTCTTCGGCCTCGAATAGCTTTCAACCGGCTACCGAGATATTTATAATACTTTCCCCTTCTCCAAATTACTGGAAAATAATAAGAGGATAGAATTACGGTTACAGCTAACATAGTGGCCAATTACATTTATTCAATTTCAATACATATTACGGTGAAACAAGGACCGGAACTAAAATGTTACTAAATGGTCGCTTTGGAGATTTCTCGCCAAATTTGGCGACAAAATAAGTCACCAAAACCGTTGTCAGCTTGGCAATATCTCACCAAATTACCAAAATACCCATTTACTCTGTAATTTAGCGAGATATATGACGATCAATATTTAAGTGTTAAATACAATTTCTCCATCATTCTTACTTTTTGGGCATAGCTTCTCTTTAGATTTCTCACATTAGAAAAGAAATACAACAATTTTACTTCTAATTCTACTAACATTACCTATCTCGATGCATAATTGGTAACAATATTGTGGAATGTCATTTATGTAAATGTTAAAGCATGTCTGAGCGCAAAGGAAAATTAAAATGTTCGCCTGAATGTAGGCATAAAATAGTATTACGACAAATCAAAAAATGCCTGTTGCGAAAATAGGATTTATTATCATATAGAATGTGATGTCATATAGAATCATAATAGTCTCGAAAAGCCATTTTGCGTTGAATCACGCTAAAATTTTGAATCACTTTTCAAAATGTTGCCATCAAATATTATGACCTGTAATATATATGTTACTGTGAAACACC